GGAATGAGTGAGGGGAGTGGGATTAGACTGGGTGGGATATTAAAGGGTTAGATTGTTTAGGCTTGAATTTCCCAAGGCTATGTGAAGCATTTTAACTTCCCTCAAGCCTGTTGTAACAAGGCAGTGTAGGTGCTATTTAAATGCTGATCTCTGTGCCTCTCAATTACCTGCATTTCTGACTGACCCAGCGATACATAGGAACAGGAGGGAGGGTGTGATGAAAGACCTCAGACCGTGCAGTATTTTCCGTCCAATGCTCAGTTTGAGGGTGTCTCTGGGTGTCACCTCAGTGTTTCCCTTCTCCTCCGGCAATTCACGAACACTGAGCAGCACGATGGCACTGACAATAAACCCTGGGATGGCACTGACAATAAATGACCATCTCCAACCCTGAGGGAAAACAAAGTATGTGGAAGTCCCTCTTCATCATTAGAAAATCCCCACTCGTGGAATACAAACTTCTCTCTCTAAATCTTTATTTAGCCCTAAGTTAGTTTCTCTTCCCTCATGGTGGTTAGATTGGACTTGGATTTGAAATAACTCCACAGAGGCCAGTATCTCATCACCAAGTCACCCTGTATTTACACGTGGAGAGTCCTTCACACTGACCTAGCTCCCTCAGAGATAACAAGGTGTAGAGCTGGATGAACACAGCAGGCCAAGCAGCATCAGAGGAGCAGGAAAGCTGACGTTTCGGGCCTAGACCCTTCTCCCTCAGAGTTAGCAGGATGTCTGACACTCTGGTTTGTATCTGTCAGCCAGGGCTCCCTAATTGGTCCAGGTTAACAGCCCCAGTCAAGGAACTCATTTTCTATAAGGTCTACCTGGCTGACCTCATTACAATCACTACAGGCTAATGGTGACCCCATCAAGCCAGGGGGAGGTCCTGGTGAGTTAACAACAGCAGCTTCCAGCTCATCCATTTCCTGCCAGAGGAAGTGGTGGAGGCTGGTACAATTACAACATTTAAAAGGCATCTGGGTGGGGATATGGATAGGAAGGGTTTAAGAGGGATACGGGCCAAATGCTGGCAAACAGGACTAAATTAATTTAGGATATCTGGTCAGCATGGACAAATTGGACCAAAGGGTCTGTTTTCATGCTGTACAGTTCTATTACTATGACTCCATCCTGAAGCTCTTGCCCAATGCAATATCCAATCACAGAGCATCTTAAAGTGCTTTACAGCCAATGGAGTTCCTTCTGATTTGTGGTGACTGTTGCAATGTAGGAAATGTGGGCAGCCAATTTGAGTACAGCAAGATCCCATAAACAGATTATTTTATGATCACTTGATTGCCTGTTTCTTTGTTGCTGGCTGAGGGGTGAATATTTGCCACAGAGCACGGTAGTGCTGGAGAGGGGGAGGGTGGGAACATTCCCTGCTCTTCCTGTGACCAATGAATCTGGGATCTTTTACATTGAGTTCTTCCCCTCCTTCTCTCACCTAACCCCCCACCCCCGACTGTTGTGCCAGTGCTAGGTTGTTACTTTTCCGAATGCATTTGAGAGAACGATATATTAATCATCTTTATATCATGTTCCAGATTAGACTGATACATTTTTAAAATGAACTGTGGAGAGTAATGAGCAAGTTTCTGACTGTGTGAGACAACTGCAAAAGGATTTGCTTAAATTGGTTTTTGAATTTTGGTAAATTATTTCCAGTTTAATATATCAAGATGCAGCATTTGTTTTCATAGCTTTGACATTATGTGCTTTCCATGACTTTATCTCTTTGAGATATTTGTTTTGTGGATATTAAAGGTCAGGGGATTGGGGGATAGTGCGGTAAAATGGTGTTGAGATTTGTGATGATCAAGTTGATGGTAAAACAGGCTTGAGGGGCCACATGGCCTACTCCTACCGCTATTTCCCATACTCACTCCTACGGAGGGCTGCGAAGAGTGGGAGCTTATTTTTGAAAGATATTTTCAGCTGTGTCACTCCTCTGGAGGACTGTGCCTTTGTGATTTTGTGCTCTGAGGTCTACTCACCAAGAGGCTGTGTTTGATGGTGAGGCCTAAGTCTAACTCTCTCCCAGCCATAACAGCAGGTGTTCCAGCCACAGATGCTGGTTCTGATGGTGCTGGTGGGATCAGACTCGAAGCTTACCTGCCCCAGGATGTTGGCCCTGGTGACATAGTTGCCGATAGCGTATGAGAGGCTATAGCCAGCGTAGATGCCCCAGTTATAGAAACCCATTGCTGAGCCTCGTGACTCCTTTGGGAAATAATCCACAATCAGACTGACAGCAAATGGAGTGCACCCGGCCTCACTGTGAAACAGATCATCAAACAGCAAATGTCAATTCTCCACAATCTCCCCGAATCTTCCAGCACCACAAGAGGCCATTCAGCCCACTGTCCCTGTGCCGGCTCTTTGAAAGGCCCATCCAATCAATCTCAACCACTTTTGCCCACAATTCTTTCCCCTTTACACTTTTAACCAGTGCTCGCCTTCGTGAAAGTACCTGCTCCCTATCACCCTCTCAGGCAGCGTGGTCCAGATCGCAACAACTCCCAGCATCAAAAACATTGTCCTCCTCTCCCGCTCTCGTTCTTTTTCTCAATTCCCTTCAAATCGCTGTCCCTTTGGTCACTGACCCTCATGCCCCTGGAAACAGTTTCTCCTCATTGACTCAATCAGACCCTACCTTGATTTTGAACACCTTGATTAAATCTCCCCTTAACCTGCTCCAGGAAGGACAATCCCACAGTCTCCAGTTTCTCCACATTCCCTGCAGTCCCTCATCCCTGGACCCGTTCCTGTAACTCTCCTCCACAGTCTCTCCAAGACCGTTAGGTTAGACCAGAACCTACTCAATAGACACAGGTTTAAGGTGAGACAACTCGTCCACCCCTCACCCTCAGACAACTCCCCCCTCACCCTCACCCTCAAGGCAACTGCCCTCACCCGCACCCTCAGACAACTCCCCCATCACCCTCACCCTCCAGAATACTCCGCCCCCACCCTCATCTTAACCCTCACCCTCAGATAACTCAATTACACCCAGGAGCCACAGTAATAGGGGCAGGGATGGGGAAGGGGCACAGTAGTGGGGACAGGGAGAGGGGGGCACACTTGGTGAACGTATGAGAACGTGGAGGGCACAGTCATCACCTGATCCCTTGGCCAAAGCGCAGAATCACCAGGTGCCAGTAATGCTTGGCAAAACCCATCAGCAATGTCATAAGGCTCCAGAGGAAGAGGCTGGCAGACAGGAAATTCTTCCGACTGACAGAATCCGCCACAAATCCAATGAAAATCCCTGGGGTAAAAACACAGAATGAGAGCAGAAAGACATTGCAGCACGAGCTGAAGGGAAGATTTGAACCAATGGAGAATCTCTGGTTTCCCAATCGGTGTGTGGTGTGAATTCACAGCACAATCCAAACCTGACCTTAATGGCCAGAGGAGAATGAGGTTCCTGCTCACTGACAACTAACTGGAGACCTGGACAAGGTGAGGATAGGCTGGGCTGCCCACCAGATTGACAGAATCAACAAATCTGACAAGTTTGATTTGTTTTATTGAGGTACTGACCTGTGAAGGTGAAAACGAAGATGAAGACAGGACCAGCCATCACCTGGTATTGCCATCCAGATCCATCAAAGTTCCATTGACAATACTGCGTCTCATTTTCATTCAGGAGAGACAGGCAGCTAGGAATCAATGGGAGTTCAGATTATGGAAAAAACAAAACTTTCAGAATTCACTGCCTTTCTAATGACTGCCTCATAAACTTCAAACAAAGTTCTTTCCTCTTCGGAATACTCTCTGGTTCAGTGACTGTTTCCTTGAACTTACAAACAGATCATCAAGCATTGCCATGAATCAGTCAAGTACCACTCACACCCACAATCTTACTCCACGTGGGGTTCCTGATGACAGGACTTGAGTATCATTAAAAAATAACACATTTTGTCAAACTTTTCATCTTGCACTCATCAGGACAATTCACAAGAATAGCCATTTAAAGGGAAAACCAGAGTAATGCTGTTTGAAAGAAGAATGGTGACTAGTTGGGAAGTGGCCTCTGGTACAGGCATTATGACGGAGAATGTAGCAGTTAATGATGATTGACAGTTAATTACCAGGTGTTGTTTAAATTTTAAACTGAGTAGAATGACTCTGATTTTTCAGGGCATTGCCCTGATAAATGAACCAGCGAATGGCTGTCAACTATTCTGTTGATACAAACACAGTGTTTGTTCTTTCTGCAGTGAACAGAGCCCTGAGCAGTAACACAGGTCGCATCCAGCACATGTTTGTATGACACTGCAGCTCTGACTGCCAACCCCAAATTGTTGTCAGTGGAACTTTGGCAGGAGTAGTCTATAGACCCCCTAACACTAACTATAGGGTGGGGCAAAGAGTAAATCAGGAGTTAACGACAGCATGCACTAAAGGCAGTATGTTATCATGGGTGACTTTAATCTTCATGTAGATTGGGATAGTCAGTTTGGCAGAAGTAGCAACCGGGACAAATTCATAGAGTGTACTCAGGACAGTTTCCTCGAATAACATGCTGTGGAGCCAACCAGAGATCAGGGTGTTTTGCATCTGGTGATGTATAGTGAGGCAGGCTTAATAAATGATGTAGAATAAAACATCTGCTAGGAAACAGTGACCATAACATGGTAGAATTTAGTATTTAGTTTGAGAGGGAGAAACTTGTGTCAGAAACAAATGGGTTAAACAGAAATATGGGTAATTACAAAGAAATGAGGGCAGAGTTAACTGGTTTTAATAGAGTTAACAGGAGTTTAATATAAATGGAGGAAAATGGCACAGTTCATGACTCACAATAAAGATACACCACAGTGAGGAAAAAGGATTCCAGGAAATGAATAACAAATCATGGTTAATGAGGTAAGTTAAGAATTGTATCAAATTGAAAGAAAAAAAAACAATAAATGTGGCAAAGATTAGTAGTAAGCCAGAGGAGGGAAGTTTTAAAAACCAAGAAAAGATGACCAAAAGAAGCAAGGAGAAGATAACTAATGAGGGTAAACTTGCAAGTAATATCAAGGCAGACAACAAGACCTTCTTCAAGTATATAAAAATGGAAAATAGAGGCCAAAATGAACATAAGCTCCTTTGAGACTGAGGCTGGGGAAATTAATAATAGGAATCCAGGAAGTGGCAGAGGAGTTGAATAAATTATTTGCTTTGGTCTGCAAAGTAGAAGGTAGCAATGATGTGGAGATGCCAGTGTTGGACTGGGGTGGAAAAAGTCAGAAGTCACATGACACCAGGTTACAGTCCAACAGGTTTATTTGAAATCTTAAGTTTTTGGAGTGCTGCTCCTTCATCGGGTAAAGTCACCTGGTGAAGGAGCAGTGCTCCGAAAGCTTGTGATTTCAAATAAACCTGTTGGACTATAACCTGGTTTTGTGTGACTTCTGACACTAATAGCATTTTAAACATTCATAAACTAAATATTCAGGGGGCTACAAAAAGTTAGTGTAACAAGCTGACATACACCTTCAGTGGGTAATCAGGAAGGCGAATGAAATGTTAGCCTTTATTTAAAAGTGAAAGGTGTATAAAAGTAGGGAGTTTTGCTAAAACTATACAAGGAATCAGTCAGATCACAGCTGGAATACTGTGAATACTGCTTACTACTAATCTTTGCCACATTTATTGTTTTTTCTTCTTTCAATTTGATACAATTCTTAACTTACCTCATTAACCATGATTTGTTATTCATTTCCTGGAATCCTTTTTCCTCACTGTGGTGTATCTTTATTGTGAGTCATGAACTGTGCCATTTTTCTCCTTTTATATTAAACTGCTCTTAACTCTGTTAAAACCAGTTAACTCTGCCCTCATTTCTTTGTAATTACCCATATTTCTGTTTAACACATTTGTTTCTGACACAAGTTTCTCCCTCTCGAACTAAATACTAAATTCTACCATGTTATGGTCACTGTTTCCTAGCAGATGTTTTATTCTACATCATTTATTAAGCCTGCCTCATTACACATCACCAGATGCAAAACACCCTGATCTCTGGTTGGCTTCACAGCATGTTATTCGAGGAAACTGTCCTGAATACACTCTATGAATTTGTCCCAGTCGCTACTTCTGCCAAACTGACTACTCTTATCTAATGAAAGATATACCTACAATAGAAGCGGTCCAGAGAAGGTTCACTCAACTGATCCCAAGTATGGAGGGAATGCCTTACAAGAAAAGGCTAAATAAATAGAGTCTGGACTTATTGAAGAATGAGAGGTGGCCTTATTAAAACACACAAGACTCTTAGAGGACTTGACAGGGTAGATGTGGGAGAGTCCAGGGCCAGAGGGTTTAATCTCAGAATAAGGGGTTGCCCATTTAAGACAGAGATGAAGATAGTGAATCTATGAGATTCTTTACCTCAGAGGGTTGTCAAGGCTGGGTCATGAAGTATATTCAAGGATGGCAGATTTTTTAATCAGTAAGGGAATTAAGAGGGTTATCAGATTAGAGATGATCTCATTGAATGGCAGAGCAAACTCAATGAGCTGAATGGGCTATTTCTGCTCCTATGTCCTATGATCTTAAAGCATGTTTTTTTCTCAGTATTCAGAATTAAATGGGAAGAGTGCATCCATTATTGAGCCCCACTATTCCACAAATGCAGATCATCTCATATAAACCACCAGGTCAAGTTCCCTGACTGACTGCTTATCAGGACAAAAGCAATTCACCCCAGGTTTCATCATAAAAAGAACTCTTCTGATTACTAACAAACTTACTCTTTAACAAATAGTAAACAAAGAGGATTATTTATCTACCACTGTGTAACAGTAGATGTCAGCGTGTTCACCGAGCTGGGAGGTTTGATAGATGTTTTGTCCCCTTACTCGGTGACATTCTCAGTGCTGTGGAGCCTCCTGTGAAGCGTTGTTGTCCTGTGCTGGTTTGAATTTATATGGTCTGGTTTTTGCTGCTTCTGGTAGGTGCCAGTTCTGGCTGTGTGTTGTAATGGTCAGTATATCGGGTCTAATTCCATGTGTTTGTTGATGGAGTCCACAGATGAATACCAAATGTCCAAGAATTCCCTGGCTGTCCTCTGTTTGGCTCGTCCTATGATGGTAGTGTTGTCTCAGTTGAAAGTGTGGGTTTTCTCATCTGTGTGAATTGAAACCAAGGACACCTGATCGTGTTGTTTAGTCGCTGGCTGGTGTTTGTGGATGCGGGTTGCTAGTTGTCTATCTGTTTGTCCCATTTGGTGTTTTGCGCCGTCTCTGCGTCTCTGCATGGTACCTTTTAAACCACCTTCATCTTGTCCATAGTATCTATTGGGTCTTTAACGCTGGTCAGTTGCTGTCTTAGCGTCGCTGCCTGTTTGTGTGTTGTCATGATTCCTAGCGGTCTGAGTAGTCTGGCTGTCAGTTCTGAGGTGTTTTTTACATATCGTATGGTGGCTATTGTTTCGGGTTTTGGTATGTACTGGTTTTATTGTCTGTTGGCTTGGCATCTATGGATGAAGCTGTGGATGAAGCTGGGTGGGGGGGGGGGGGGGGGTATCCATTCCTGGTAAAGACCTTCAAGCCTGCTCTGCCATTCAATATGATTGTGGTTGATCGTCCAATTCATTACCCTGTTCCCACTTTCTCCCCCTATCCTTTAACCCTTTAGTCCTAAGAACAATGTCTAACTCCTTCTTGAAAACATTTATTATTTTGGCCTCAACTAGTTTCTGTGGTAATGACTTCCACAGGCTCAACATTCTTGGGGTGAAGATATTTCTCCTCATCTCAGTCTGAAATTGTCTACCCCATAACCTTAAACTGTGACCTCACATCGACCATGAGAGTCGCCTTGAATGTTATGACATTTCAAGTGCTCATCCGAGTACTTTTTAAAGGTGGTGAGGTTTCCTGTCTCAAATATCCTCCCAATGCATTCCAGTTTCCTCCCACCTTCCAGCTGAAAATAACTCCTCAAATTCTCTCTAAACATCCTGCCTTCCATTTTAAAATTATGTCCCCTTATCCTTAACCATTCAAGTAAGGAGAACAGCTGGGTTACATCCACGCCTCTTGTAGTCTTATACACTTTAATCAGGTCCCCCCTCGAACTTCCCCACTCTAAAGAAAACAACCTGACTCTATCCAGCCTCTCTTTATCATTGAAATGCTCCACCCCAGGCAACATCTTGGTGAATCTTTTCTGCACCCCGTCCAGTGCAATCACAACCTTCCAATAGTACAGAGGCCAGATCTGCACACAGTGCTCCAGCTGTGGCCTCTCCGAAGTTCTGTACAGCTTCAGCATAACCTCTTTGCTCTTAGGCTCGATGCCACGACTGATAAAGAGGCAAGTATCCCATATGCCTTCTTAACTACCCTATTAACCTGTCCGACCACCTTCAGGGATCTGTGGATGAGCACCCCAAGATCGCTCTGTTCTTCTGAGCTTCCTAGTGTCTTGCCATTCATCAAATACTCCCTTGTCTTGTTCCTTCTTCCAAAGATCATCATCTCACATTTATCAGCATTAAATTCCACCTGCCACTGATCTGCCCAATCTGTTTCCTCACTGTCAACCACTCAACCTGTCATCTGCAAAGGTATCCCCTCCACGTTTTCTTCTATACCATTTATATATATTAATCACCAATAATAAAGGGACCCAGCACTGATCCCGGTGGTATGCCACTGCACAC